ATTTAGGGCAGAATTGTATGTGTGTTTCGCCGTGAATCATGAAGGGTGTTTATATGATATATGATATTTTTGGTAGAATTGCTTCTGTGTTTGATTGTGTTTTGATTCTTGCAATGTTGGGTTTTTTCATGGCTGTGTGAAGGGTGTTTGATTGTTTCATGGCTGTATTATACATTGTTTTAACCTTGTTAATGTTGGTGCAGAAAAATCAACCCTTCTGATTCTTTGTGGTCTGTTAACCTTTTTTTTTTTTTTGGTAATGTACAGAATGGAGGCTGTAAGTTTTTCTCTTGGGTCGACCCTCCTACCTGTGACCGGCCTGAAAAAATCATGCCTGGGTTATTGAAGAAGATGAAGGCACTAGAGAGAGCAAATGAAAACTTCAAATTTGAGAATACCAAATTGGAGGAGAAGGTTGAAAAACTGGAGGAGAAGGTTGAAAAATTGCAGAAAAAGGTTGAAAAATTGCAAGCATTGAACAAGAGGTTGGTTGAAAAGAAAGAAAAAATGGAGATGAAAATGGGGTTTGCATTGGCTATAGCAGCTTTGTTGTGTGTATTTTTGCTATATAAAATTAGGTGAAGGATATAAATTAAAGAAGGTTGTGTAATGTGTTTATTTTCTCTTGTAATCTTCTATGTACTCTTGTATTTTGTGTGTACCTCATTTCGGAACATCTATGTAATGCACTTGTGGTTTCAATGAAATGAAATGTTCTTTAGTTTGCAGACTTGTCTCCTTGATTTTGGAATACCCATGATAGTTAGTCTTTCCCTCCTTCACAGTGGGCAGGCAAGAATATGGGGCATGGTTTGTTCTACATTTTTAAGGTTAACTACAAATTGTTGGAACATATAAATTAAATAAAAAAAAAAAGTGCACCCCTTGATATGTGTAATTATTATCCACCTATTCATCTGTCACAAGAGATTATATATTCATCTGTCACAACTTTCTTGTAAGGCACAACAGAGAGAAACAGAGAAGGAGGATAATGGAAGACAACAGCTTGCCCAGACTCATCAGCTTCCTATCCTCACTGCAAAACAAAACTCAACTGCACAACTCAACCATTTCATTGTCAACTAAACTCAACTGATATGACTCAAAGGCAATGCATAACTGATCACAACCATCACAACTCAACACAAACAAATTCAAAAGTAGAACAATAATCATAACTGATCATAACCACAACTGTTTTACAACCACCAAGCATAACAAAATTAACACCAAAACAAAATTACGTTTCCTGCCATTAAGTTTCAACTAAATTCAGTTTCCTATCAACTAAATATCCTGCCATTTAGTTTCAAACAAATCCTGCAAATGTTTTACAACCAAATCAACTAAATTCAGTTTCCTATCAAATCAACTGAAATTCAATTCTTTCTAGAATTTTCTCCCTTCTCCTTTTTGATCTGCTTCAACTTCTGAGATGAGCTACCAAAAGAGAGGTCATTTTGAATCCTTTCAAACATTGCTGGAGTTCCATCTCTTGCATTGATGGCCTCCAACTGCTTACCTCTAAAGTATGAATCATCTCCTAATCCCATTTTCAGTTGTTCAAGGGGTGTCGGTCCCTTTGTCATCTCAGGCTGTGGAGTTGCACAAAACTCTTGTGTCAATTGTGACACAAAGCCCTCATCATCCAAGTCAGTTTCTTCTACAAATGGAGCAGGTGGTGCCATGCTTGGCCCTTCTTTCTGTTGAAGAAAAAACACAGTCATGGCACCATTTTTTAGACAGTGACCACAACAAAGAAAAATAAACAAAGTCAGTAATACCTCTTTCTCTATGGTGGAGGTGGAGCCTTGTTTTTTCTGTTCAAGAAACAACAAGTTATTAATCAGACACATTTGTTAATAATGTAATTAAATGAAATAAAAAGAAAAATGAATAAAGTACCACCTGCTTATCAATGCTTAAACCTTGTTTCTGTTTCTTTGCTTCCCTTTCATTTTCTTTGGCCTTTTTTGCAATAGCCTTAGCTGCTTTCTCCTGTCTTGCAGCATTAGCCCTCTTAATTTGCAACTGCAAAAGTATGGAAACATAAATAAGTCCTCTTAATTTGTAACAATAAATAACAAAACTGAAAAAAATGAAAATTAAAACATATTTTACATAAAAGCTGTATTTTTGCTTACAATTGTCCTGCTTGCTTTAGCTAGTGGGCTCTGATCCTTCTTGGCATCAGAAAGGTTTTTCTTGCCACAAGATCTGGCATTGTGACCCACATTGCCACATTTTCCACATTTCAAACTTGTCTGCTGCCTCTTCATCTTCATTTGAATCTTTGCCTTCATTTTCTGTCTTTTCTCTCCTTTCTCATCAGGATCAATCCTCCTTGCTTTCTTAGGTCTACCTGCACCTCTCCCAAATGTGGGAGGCAAAGGTGGAATGAAATGGGTTTGGTTCCACAGCATCTGACAGTTAATACCTAGGATGGCTGGTTTGTAAACTCTTTTATATGTTTCCACACTGTAGAAGTCATGCACATAATCAACTGGATTGCCCTTTTGAGATACAATTGCACTACATGCATGCTTGCATGGTATCCCACTCAAGTCCCACAACCTACATGTGCAAGTTTTCTTTTCCAAGTCTACCACATACTGACCTCCACCATAACACTCTATTTGATAGTGAGTGTTGTCACTTTTCATAGGCATGCAGTCACCTAACTTTGCCATATTAGCCTCCACTGTCTTAATGATCTTTGGACACACATTGCCTTTCCATCTCAACTCTGCCCTATCCCTGTTTCTTTGAAGCCTTTTCACTAAGTACATTCTGATCCATTCAAGCATAGTCACTATGGGTTCCTCTCTAGCATCAACAATGCATGCATTAAAACTCTCACACAAGTTATTCAACAATATGTCACAATTTCCTCAAACTGTGATTTTGACCAATGTGCAGGGTTCTTGTCATTGAACCAGTCAGCAGCTTCTACATATATTTCTCTCATTTGTCTCATTCTAAAATGGAACTCACCAACAGTAGCTGCCTGTGCAGCAGCCCACAAAGCATTTTTAAATGCAGCCCCTCTGTAACCAGCATTTTTAAAGTTATTGTGCAGATGTCTAACACAAAATCTATGTGTTGAGTCAGGAAAAACATTCTGAAAAGCCACAATCAACCCTTTCTGTTTATCACTAATGAAAGTACAATCACTGCCATGCACAATGCCAATATCATGTTTCAATGCAATCAGAAACCACTCCCAAGTATCCCTAGCTTCTTTACCAACCACAGCATAAGCTAAGGGATATATGTTGTTGTTAGGATCAACACCTACAGCAGTCAGAAGAATACCCTTGTGGGGTCCAGACAAATGACAGCCATCAATTCCTATTATTGGCCTAAAACCACTCCTAAAACCTTCCTTCAGTGCAACAAAACAAACATAGAATTTGGAGAACCTAGGAACACCATCATCTTCTTCAACATCTAGAATCACAGTTGAACCAGGATTTGTATCCCTCAGTTGTTGGGCATAATCCCACAACTTTTCATATTGTGAATCTGGATTTCCCTCAAGTGCCTCTAGAGCTCTCTTCTTAGCCCTATAAGCCTGGTGCCTAGAAATCCCAACCCCCAACTCATGAACCACTTCCCTTCTAAATCCCTTTACTTTTCTTGAGGGATCAGCTTGAAACTTGCTCAAGTACCTCTCAGACAACCACTTACTTTTAATTTTTTTAAGATGAAAAGATATAGGGCATGTATGAGTGGGGTTGTAAGTGGTTATCTTGAAGGCTTCCTGGTCAGGAATCTTCAGGGCATGAATTTTCCACTGACACTCCTCTGAATCACATACTGCATGGACCCTAATCTTATCATTTTTTTTCAACTTCACACTTCTTTTGGACTTAATAGCATGTGACTGTACAGCTTTCTTAAACTCTGCTCTAGTACCAAAGACCATTCCTAGTGCAAATGTTGGATCATAGATATTGCTAGGATTAAATACAATTTCTCTCTTTTCAACTGTTTCAGTATCTGAACAAAACTCATCAAAATCAAGTGGAGTTTCAATTAAATCTTCTTCCCCACTATCAGACTCAGATTCAATTTCAGACTCCACAGATTTGTCTACATTGTGATCAAAGTCTGCATCATCCCTCCCACAACTACTTTCTGATCTAAGATCAAAGTCACTGTCTATAGTTTCACTATCCTCATCACCCCCATCACTATCACACCCATCATCACCCCTATCAGGTACCTCAGCACCCTTGCCTTCATTTTTTTCACTACCCTTGCCTTCATTTTTTTCACAACCCTCATTATCTGTCTTTTCACTCATTTCACTCTCACTTGTTTCACTGCTCTCTGCTTCACTCTCATTGTTTTTCTCCAATTATACCTAACCACCTTCATCATACTTAGAAGTAGGCACAAATTGACCTTCATCCATTAGATCAATGTGAATGTCCATCAATCTATTAGTATAGAAACATTTAGCCCACTTACATAAAGTTGCATCATCTTTCAGTAAGTTAAATGTAGCACCCGAGTTGAAATAATACCTTCTATTTCCTACAACCAAATAGATCACTAAGACAACCCAATGTATCAAGACACAGTTTTGACTTCTCTAACCAGTCAAAAATCATACTAGAACCCCCAAGATAATGGTCAATTGGAGTATGCAAAAATTGACCTCCACACCAAAGTTGGATAGTTAAGTGATCTCTACTTTCTATGGAACCAAACCCAAGTCAACCAAACAACAACAAACAGAGAGAAATTAGGGATTTTTAGATAACCACAACAATAAGCAATTGAAGAATGTATAACTGTATTTTGAATGAAATTAGGGGTTTTAACCACATTACAGTCATCTAAATTAGGGTTAGAAAAAAGCCCTAATTTGTCTTCAAAATTAAGGTTTACAAAATAACCCTAATTTATATTCAGAATCAGGGTTCGCAAAAGAACCCTAATTTGTATTTAGAATTAGGGTTTGCAAAAGAACTCTAATTCGTTTTTGAAATTACGGCTTGCAAACGAAATTACGATTTGCAAAGAACCCTAATTTCATTATAATGTGCGGAATTTAGATCCTCATTTCATTTTAATTGTACGAAATACTCTGCGACATTACATTGCACGAATTTTTTCCATAAACAAAGAAAGATAATATCACCGACCGTATGTGGGAGGTCCATTGTGCATACGAATCTTCTTCCGGATGAACACCTTCTCAGGAATCATTTGGATTCTTGTTTCTCAATACTTGATTTTGAGCTTTCGATTTTTTTACCTTCGGAATTTCAGAAAGAATTTGAGAACGATGTAGATGGAGGGTTTTTTTCTTCACAGAGAATTTGGGAACGCGATTGTGGGGAGAAGTGAAGTGACTGTTCATGTTCCTGCTTTTCATCTGTTTTTCCCTCCATTTCCACGTGTGTATACACGCGGAATTTTTTTTTTCTTTTGATTTCGGCCGCCACGTGTAACTGAGGTCGTCCGCGTGTGAAATTCGGCTCCACGTAGGCCAAAAGAGCCGTTAATTTCCATCACGTGCGTGTCACGTGCGTGTTTCCGGGCAATTAACGGGTTTTCGGCGAGTCGGGGACGAATGTGCAACCTTTTTTAAAAGTTATAGGACGAAACTCAAAATGGCTATTCGAAGAGGACTAAATTGTCCAGAGGGGTAAACTTACAGGACGAAAAATGCACTTTTCTCAATTTTAAATATAGGAATTTTCTTTTCAAGTGGTGTAAAACCACCAAATTAAGAAGAAGCCCATAAAAATTCAAAAGTATGAATGTGGACTTGAAACTTTTATGTTGACTCTTCCTTTTTTTGACTCTTTCTACTGGAATAGGACTCAGTTTCCTTTTCACTAACTTTTCATGTGAATGTGGACTTCATCAATATTTGGAAACTTGTTTGGGCCTACATTTTGTGCTTTTCTATTTCTTTTTGGGAAATTTTTATTTATGCTATGTGATTTTAAATTAATTGCAACTTTATCATAGAAGTTGAAATAATTATGTTTATACCTAAAAGACCTTATTTATCTATATTAATGCCTAAAGTCAGTTACCATATCCTTCCCACCTCCATCCCCCTTTTTATGGGCATGATTAAGAGAGAGAAAATAACTGACTCGTTTAATTCTTTAATTCGCGCAACTTGAATTCCTTAATTCACGCAGCTGTCAAGTGGTATATATTGGGTTTATGTTAGTATATTTTCTGTATATGTTGCAATGAAAAACATGTTTTCTATCAAAAAATTATGTCTTCCTATTTTTTCGAAAAGAAAGAAACACACGCCGCCGAGCAGAATTTTTTCGAAAATCAGTCGACCGACGGTCTTCATTCAGAATTTTTACGTGATCTCGAGTGTATATCTTAGGTATATTTTATGTATATGTGGTTTCTAAAATCGATTTTGAGAAACGATTGAAACTCGAGTGTATATTTAAAGTATATTTTATGTATATGTGGTGTCGCGGATTTGAATTACGTGAATCTCGAGTGTGTATTTTATGCATATTTTATGTATATTCTATGTATATTTTATGTATATGTGTGTTGTACAACTTTGGTATATACCCGCAACGTGTAAATTTTCATATCTGATGGTAACATGTAAATCATGTACAGAATTTTCATACCCGAAACATACATATTGTCATACCGAAACATATACTGAAAATATACTATATATACCCACATCATATACCCACAATATGTACAGAATAGAACTATCTATCAACAAATCAAACACACCAAGTGTTCGACAATTACCCTCTGAGAAGATTTTCGTCAAAACAGATAGAAAAAATTATGTATTTAACATATACTGTACATATACCCATCATATACTGTACATATAACACAATACAACACAACCGTAACCAGGTAAATTCGTCTAAAATTAATAGCAAACTACGTGGAGATATGGCTTGATTTCATGATCCCCAAGCCATTTCCGAAGCTCGAAATCGCAAGACCAATCGATTTTCAATCGTACAAGAAAACAAAAAATCCAAAAAACCGTAACCGGGTAAATTTGTTTGAGATAGCCTCCGAGCAGCCCATCGCGAACACTTTTCTCCCGTTGACGAGACCACCGGCGAAGGCCCCGCATACGAACAGCACCGCGCCGGAGAGCCGTTCGAGATGCCACAAGTCTCAGCCGCACCAGGTCGAGGAAAGTCGCGATCCGCTGCAGCCCTAGCGTCGGCGATCGATCTCCAGCCGTCCTCGCCGTCGCAGCCGCGAAGAAACGACCGCACCTTGACGGGGAGGCAGAACGCCACCTCTCCGACACCACCCCAAATCGCCGCCCCCTGAGCCAACGGCGCCCATTCCCATCGCCGTCAATAGCCAATTTCGGCCAGGGGTAATTGAGTAGTTGAAAATGGAAGAAAATTAAAAGGGGAATTTTTAGAAGTAAATTTGCAGTGAAGAGGGTGAATTTGAAGAAGAAGAAGAAGAAGAAGAAGAAGAAATGGAGATCTGGGAAGGAGGAGAAGTAAAGGAAGAGGAAAGAAAAGTGACGGGAAATAAGAAGAAAAGAAAGAGGAGGAGGAAAAGAAAAAGGGAAAAGAAAAGAAAAATGTATTAATTATCTCAATTAATTCATAATTGATTCATTTTCCATATTTAAATCCTAAATTAATACACTTATAAAATCTGGTATATGTGCAAATATGTTGGAATGATTTTGTATTTTTGCAAATAAATATTAATTGGATGTAAATATGTAATATAAAATATATATGATTGTATGGAGTGTAAATTCCTCTTTCTTTTTTCATTTGTTTTTTCCTTTACGTGCTCCATTTAACAAAGCAATAAAAGCATTCATATTGAATAAAAGTAACTCGTGAATGTAGAGATCATGTTTATAAGTCGAGGACATTTTTCTTTGTTTGCTCGGATGGTATAGTAACATAAAGTAAAGTTTGACATAATACATACATGCAAAAATCTAGTTGTTTTACCGTCACATCAACTTTAAAATCAACAATGCTTACTCATATACATCATTTATGTCATTGATTAGGACAAAGGTTTATACTAAAGTAGTTTTATTTTTTTAAAAAATGACGAAATGTATAGAAAGTGATTGATGTTTCTTACGATTTGTTTTATTATCATTAATCCTGCCGTAATCACTACTCTCCGACATAACGTCTTGACTTAAAAAGAAAAAAGGAAGTTTAAGTACATGTTCGAAGAAATTTGAGGAGTGCTATTTTGCGGACAAGTAATGATCATAGTCAAATCGTTCGAGATCAAAATCACTCAAGTGAAATGCCGAACATGGTCAAACCGTTCAAGGTCAAAATCACTCACAGTGAAACGTTGAACATGACCAAACCGTTTGAGATCAAAATCACTCACATTGAAACGCCGATCAAGGCCAAAATCGTTCGAGATATATATAAAAAAAAAAAAAACCTTCATTTATGGCGAAATGCCAAATGTCGCCAAAATAAAAAATCATTCGCTCATGATAAAATGCCGAAGCACATCATACTAAAACTCAGCCACAAAACATTTTCGAAAAATAATTGTTGCAAACACAACCCGACTGCTTTTTAGTTGATCTAAAATTTATCTTTTCATATGACTAACTATATTCGGCAAAAAAAACATTGTTATGCACAAATTGTTACACATGCTCTCGGCCGACCCTTTAAGTAAAAAAATATGCCACTCGCAATAAAGATTTCCCATAACAGGTTAGGCCCGAATTGTAAAGGGAAAAGCCCAAGAAGAATTTGTCGGACTACTATGTGTCGACCTGCCTCCATACTTGAGTGTCCATCCACCAGCTAGCCCCTTTTTGCCAATCTCTCTATGAACGAAAAACTAATAAAGCAAACTGGTAAAGCGATCGCCCAGCCGGTTTCATCATCAAAAGTCGAGTTTTTTAATGAAGAAGCGTCTCCCATACCCTTAGTTGACACATGACAATTACTATGTTTCTACTTTTTTCATGTATAAATTCAACCTTTGAAGCTTCACAATGATTATCGAAAATTCACTAATAAAATACTATTAGTATTCGACCCTGTGCATTTTCACAGTGAAAATAAAATATTATAACTTACATTTATGCATATAGTATTAAAATTACAAGTTATACAATGATATTGGGAAAATTTCAAAATTAGTCCCACAGGTATAGGGGGGTGGCAATTTTAGTCCCGACGGAATGCAGAAAATATGAATAGTCCCACATCTTTTAAAAAATGATCAAAAGTAGGACTTTTTCGCCGGATTTACTATTTTCGGCCCGGAACGCCACGTGGCATCCGACGTGTTCATATTTTTTTACAAGTTGTGGGACTAGTTTTGAATTTTCTGCATTCCATCGGGACCAAAAATGTCACCCCTCTATACTTGTGGGACTAATTTTGAATGTTTTCCTATCTACGTCGGATGCCAGCGTGTAAAAAATAAGCCACGTGTGCGCCACGTGTACGCCAAGTGGCGCTCCGGGCCGGAAATAGTAAATCCGGCAAAAAAGTCCTACTTTTGATCATTTTTTAAAAGCTGTGGGACTATTCATATTTTGTGCATTCCGTCGGGACCAAAATTGTCACCCTCCTATATCTGTGGGACTAATTTTGAAATTTTCCCCAATGATATTATATTTTAAACATAGAATATTATAAGTTATATTTATGCATATAATAATAAAAATATAAATTAGATAATGATATTATGTTTTAAAATTTGATCATTGGTTAAAATAAATAGTACATAACTATTTGATTACATATGAACCACTATATTAATTACATAAAATATAATAAATAATGTAATTTTGAGAGATCGCCAATTTATTAGCTTAAAAATATTAAATTTATTATAACATTTGATTATGCGATTTTAAGAATTTTACTATAACATTAAAATAAATTAACTTATTTAAAAATACTATCGCTAAATAAGATAAAAAAAATATAATTAATGCTTAATCAATTAAATATAAATACAAGAACAATACATTTCACATCTTTTAAAAATCAAACACAATATTCTCGCACCATTATTTCTCACGAAATGGCTTTCTTCCACATATCTACCAAAAATCAACCTAACATCAACCTAAACAACAAAGTTTTGAAAAGATATAGAATTGTTGTTTTAAAAAAAAAATCTTGTTTTTAATATAATTTTATACATTATTTGACAAACTAAAAAAATTGAACAATTCATTTAGCTACTTCATTATTTAATATAATCTTATTGGATTGAATTTTGATCCCACAAAAATCGTCATTTGTTTGTTTATTTATTTTTTTTTTTTCTAATTTTAGTCACAAAGTGAATAAAATTAACGAATTTCACTTGACCATTAGATGGTTAATGTCAAGGTGAGTAATATTTTAATTATTAACACTTAAAATATATGAATGTTACATTCAAGAATTGAGTAAAATATATCACGAGATTTTAATTATTACTAGTGCGTAGCCCGTGCGTTGCACAGGAAAATAATATTAAGCAATAATTATAAATTAAAAATGCAGGTAAATAACAATAAATAATAATAATAAATCAAATATTTGGGATTTAAATGTGATATAATTTACGTATATCGATTTGTTGTACAATATAAAATTATCAAATTATCATGTACAAAAGAATACAAAACATGTATGTTTAATGTATTAAAATACCTAAAATACATATGTAAAGATATCTAAAATATTCTACATTATTCTTAAAAAATGTTAAGTCACCTAAACTTCCACTAAACTATTTTGTAAAGACAAAATGTCTAAAAGCACCTAAAGATATAAACTTTAATGTATAGAATGGGCAAACAAAAAAAAAAATCTAAAAAATATCTAAAATATTAATTATGTACGTGTAAGTATTGAATGTGTAAAAAAGTATGTAAAATATTTTTTGAGTAAATAATAAGTATTACAATCTAATATCTCACGTTGAACTTTATGAGAGAATATTTACATCGTAGATATTGTCTTATATGTCTTGTATACCGGTTTTATATTGTTACTATCAACATTGTCTATATGTAATGTATCACATGTCAAGTGATTTTGATTACATCTCTTTTATCATACTTTTGTACCAATCCATCCATTAATTCTTATTTTTTTTTTTTACTAATTTCACAGAAATATATTATACGAATTTGTGTATATATATCTCGCAAATGCTAACGCATTTAGTATGAATACATAATGTGGAGCATTTTGTTAGAAAGAATTATTATTCCTTGCATTGGAATATAATACATAAACCTGCATAGAAATTTCAGAAATTTTTATTTTGTTGAAAAAATTTCCAATGATGAAAAACTATAAATTAAAAATATAATTATTAATTAATATGATATAAAATAATGAAATATTAATTTATAATAGTTGTGAATTAAAATATCAGATGTGTAATAATATTGTTTTAATTATTAGGTTTGTAGTAATATTAATTGATACCCATTCACAATTTTATTGGTAAAAATTTAAATTTTTCTTCATAAATCTAATTAAACAAATAATGAATAATCATTTATCTTCATTATTCATATACTAATTAATTAGGTATTGATTTTAATCTCGTTATCTTGCTTTATCTGACGACAAATACTCAAATTATTTCCTAATCTAATATGTTGCCCTTGTCATATCATATATTATTACAGATTTGTTATTAAGATAAAGATGGATTTTTTTGTTTCAATCTTTGGGATTTAAATATTTTCCAAAAAAATTAATATACAATTAGGCAAGTTTTTTGAAATTTGAAATTTAAATATAACAAATTCCATGATTTATGGTAGCATTAAATGAGGCCTAATTTTTTTATTAAAAAAGAATAAAAGACATTCTAAAAATAGAATGTAATTAATATTTTCAGATTTTTTGCTTACTATTTTTAGTAAATAGTAATTCTTATTATATATATATATATATATATATATAGATTATTTTATTTGAGACATTGATTTTCTAGATGTGTGCTAAATAAAAGAACAATATGAAAGTAAGAAAATATTAAATCGCCCGAGTGTCAAACTTATTATCCTGGTGGGATCCGACACTCGGGTATTACCCCGGTGGGGTCTTTTTAGTTGTTTTAGTGGTTGGTGTTGTTAGTTAGCTTAGTTGCGAGTGTTTGTATTCTAGCGTTGCTAGCCGGGACTCTAGGCGGTCTTCTGACCTGTCCTCCCACTTTTTCAGCTGTTGACTGCTGTGTATTTAGCCGTTGGCTACTGTGTATTCGCACATTTGTGCATTTTGATTTATAATATTATCTGTCGTTTTGGGAAAAAAAAAAAGAAAATATTAAATCTGATGAATAAGATTAAAAATATAATTAAGTTTTAAGACTCACTAATAAATATGAAAATAAATAAGAAATAAAAATTTTATAATTAATAAAAGTAAATATAAAACTTTTATAACTTATACATATCGATGTACATGAATCGAATTGTTTATTTCTTTTTAATTTTTTGTGCTTATTAGTTCTATGTGTAACTTTTAGGTGATAGATAATAGTTATTTGTATTTTTATTCATGTAGCTTGGATATTTTAATATTTAAAAAAATTATTATTTTAATTATAAATAATTTTTTATTTGCAATTAGTTTTTTTAATATAATATATAAATATCATATTACAATATAAAATAATAATTATTTTCACTTGACCATTAGATGGTTAATATCAAGGTGAGTAATATTATAATTATTAACACTTAAAATATAGGAATTTTACATTCAATGATTAAGTAAAATATATCATGAGATTTTAATTATTATTATTTTATTTGAGCCACTGATTTTCAAGGTGTTTGCTAAATAAAAGAACAATATGAAAGTAAAAATATATTAAATATGATGAATAAAATTAAACATAAAATTAAGTTGTAAGACTTACTAATAAATATGAAAGCAAATAATAAATAAAAATTTTATACTTAATAAAAGTAAATATAAAACTTTTAAAACTTATACTTATCGATGTAAATGAATCGAATTATTTATTTCTTTTTAGTTTTTTGTGCTTATTAATTCTATGTGTAACTTTTAGGTGATAGATAATAGTTATTTGTGATTTTATCCATGTAGGTTGGAAATTTTAATATTTTTAAAAAGATGATTATTTTAAATTTAAATATCTTTTTATTTGCTATTAGTTTCTTTAATATAATATATAATTATCATATTACAATATAAAATAATAATTATTTTTGTTATTTAATATTTAATACGCAAAAGGTTTTAATTCAATTGAGAAATTAATAGGTAATCTTGAGTTAAAATAACGAGTAATTTTTATTAAGTTATATGGACTAAAAAGTTCATGTGTTTAATATATTTTTAATAAAAAAATTGAAACGCAATTAATTAATAAAAAAACTACAACATAAAAATTTTAATGTTTAAAAGGAAATGCAAAAAATAAAATTCTATATTGCAATGAAAAATCCAACGATAAGGTGTTCCACTAAAAATTCCAAAGGATAATTCATTTGAATAGCTTTCATTGGAAAATATCACTAGCTATTCCAATAGAGATCAAATTAAATTATAATGGAATTTTAGTGGATTTAATGATTTGAAATACCATTATTTATTATTGTGTGAATTCATTTGATTTTTTTTTTCGGAACATATTTCTACCGTTGGAAATTTTTTCATTGACATTGTAAAAAATTCAATGAAAGTTGCATTGAAAAGCTAATTGCAGTGGTAGATACAAACAATTTCATATTGGGAGCACTATTTAGCTAATAGAATAAATATACCATCAAAATAACGTCATTACAATATATAAATTATACTTTTCATAATTTGTCATGTAATACATGTTTAGCAAATCTACACAGTTACAATAAGTTAAAAGTATTTATAAAAAATCATAATTTTCCTCAACTAAAAATAAGCAAATCATTGAAAATAATATATCTTTTAAAATGATGAACAAAAAATATATGTTGTAATATAGGTGACTCGACAAGATTATTGATTAATTTATAAATTATGACTAATTGATTATAACATTAATGGGAAAATTGTAATGTATATAATATAATATTAAAAAATACAAATAGATGATATCTTAATACATATGACCGAAATAATATATTTTTTAAAAATCATATAAACAAAAAATTTATGTTGTAGTATAATTGACTACACAATAGTGTTGATGAATTTATAAATTATGAATAATTAATTATAATAATAAAGAGAAAACTGTAATTGTATATAATATAATATTAAAAAATACAAATAGATGATATCTTAACACATATGACTGAAAAAGTTCTATACATAATATTATGAACTTTTAAGCAAATACAAAAGTTAAAAACATATGAAAGAACAAATGATATTAAATATTACTAATTTGTAATACGTACTAATAAATATTAAAAAATAATAAATAAATATGTTATGATTAATAAAAGTAAACATAAACCTTTTAAAACTTATATTTATCGATGTAAACGAGCAGGGTTGTTAAATGCTTGTTAATTTTTGTACTTATTAATTCTATGTGTAAGTTTTAGGTGATATACAATAGTTATTTTTACCTTTATATATCCATGTAAGTTAAAAAAAAAAAATTGATTATTCTAATTTTAAATTACATTTTACTTGCTATTAGCTTTTTACATATAATATGTATATATATCATATTAAATATATAAATAATAATTATTTTAATTATTTAACATTTAATATGTAATAAATGTAACTCAGTTGGGAATTTAATAGGTAATCTTGAGATAAAATAATGAGTTACTTTAAAAAAATTATATGGATTAAAAAGTTCATGTATTTAATATATTTTAATAGAAAAATTGTAAACACAATTACTCAATAACTACTACCTAAAATATAATGTTTAAGAAGGAATACAAAAAATTAGGTATATTGCAATGGAAAATGCACCTGTAAGATATTTCAATGAAAATTCCAACGGATATTTCATTGATATAGCTTTTATTGAAAAATTGCATTAACTATTCCAACAGAGATCAACTTAAATTACATTGTAAATTTTGTGAATTAAGTGATTCAAATTACTATAATTTATTATTGTTTGAATTTCTGTTGAACTTTTTTACGGATCATATTTCGACCGTTGAAAAAACTGTCACTGAAATTGTAAAAAATTTAATAGAAGTTCCATTGGAAAACTAATTGCAGTGGCGGATCCAAAATAATTTTATATTGGGGCACTATATAGTTAATAGAAAAAATATACCATCACAATAACATAATGCCATTACAATTTATAAATTATACTTTACATAATTTGTCATGTTTCTCACTTGTAATACATTCTAACACATCCGTACAGTCACAATAAGTTAAAAAATATTTAATAAAAAAAAAATTGACGATTTTTCTCAATTCAACATAAGAAAATCATTGAAAATAATATTTAAAAAAAATTATAAACAAAAAATCTATGTTGTAGTATAGCTGACTCGGCAATACAATTGCTGAATTTATAAATTATGAATATATAACTATAATTCCTCTTGTATTAGTTAAATAGACGAAAAAATATATTTTGAAGATATAGAACAAAAATATGTTGCAAAATAGATTTGAAACTATCATCAATATGGTTCATTTACATTTAATTGAATTCAAAAGGGCCTTTAATAATAGAAATAGAAAAGTCTATATCATATATCAGATAAAAAATTTGAAAACTTCGCGTGAACTAGCGAATTATTACGGGTATTATATCGTAGTGATGCAATTATTTATGATAATAACATGTTTAGATAATCTCAGTATATAAATGAATAAACTGGTCTCAACTGCTGGGTCGTAATTTTGAGATTTATTATATTTTCTTTAGTTGTGATGCCGCGTTTATGTTAAACATTAATAAAGTTATGAGTTGAATTAAATTGTAATTGGTTGAGTTGTAAATTAATTCATTATATATCTTTCTTTATTTTAATTTCATTTTTATAATAGGGAGCATGATAAAAATTATGAAAAAATGTTCCCAGATTTTTTATTAGATTCCTTATGCTATATGCTTTGGGATGGAGGGTTGTGCCAGACCTATAAATAAACATAGATCTGCTCATGATTCTAATAAAATATTTTTTTCTAGAATTATATTGGAAAATTCAAACGGGAGTAATAATATTGAAATATTCGTTAGAATTTTCGATGAATTCCCTTGTAATATATTTTTTTTTAAATTTTCGTTGAATTTTCTCATTTTATTGTAGTAAAGCTAGGGCTCCAAATCAATAAGAAAAATTTGTATTATATATAATATTGTGTACAACTAATTATTATGAAAATTTTTGATAATGATGGAAAATATGACACATTCAATCTAATTATCATTTAGTTTATGGTAATTAGTAAACTATTTGAAAACAAACAAGTTACATCAGGGTCAAAAAGTCCTTATTAGTATTATAATAGCTAAACAAGGGGTAAGAATGATGAGAAAACTTATAGCTCGCAATAAATCTGAAAGCAAAAAAAATGATAAAATTAATTAATGTTCTATATCAATTGGAGCTAAGTAATGAGAAATATCAAACATACTTAATATGCACATTTATTTTAACTTGAACTTTTAAGTTCATAAAAGAAATATTTTTTTTTGCATTAAAGTTCACTATGTTAGTTAAAGTTAAATATTTAAATTACGATCTAATTAATTTTTGGAATAAGTTATTTGATGCCTATAAGAATTAAGAGTTAAATATTTGAATACTTCATTTCTCTTTTGGAAAAACTTTGTAAGAAATCTTTTTCTTCAAAACTACATTGTGAAAAAAAATCACTTTTTATTAATTTATGTAAATTTATTCTTGTGTTAATATTCTATACATATCTTATCAGTTAAAATTGATATTATTTTGATGATCTACAAATAAACATTCATATTGAATTTAAAAAATATTTTTAATTTTTTATTGCTATTTATTTCCTAGCATTACCAAATACAAGAATTATTTTAACATAAAAAAAGTTATCTTAGGACTAATTTAATAAATATTATTTCAGAATATACCTATTAAGATTATTATTTATCTATTGAAATTTACATTTTTAAAATTTACTTATTAATCTGTCCTTTTGACATTTAGTACTTGGTTATTTTTTTGTGTTTATTTTATTTAATGGTAAATCTAGAATTAAATGCTTGACATGCTAAAATTCTCAGTCGTGTTAGTAAGAAAACGAATTCCACATAACATTTTATTAAATAATTTTAGGCCGGGGAAATTTTAAATCCTGGCGTCGCCCCTACATGCCGCGGGTGCAAAGATGTCGTTAATTGACTTCTGTTGTGGTCAATCGCCACTACAACTTCTTTCTGTCAACGATTATGCACTTTGCTATCAAGTTTTTTGCCTGTTACCTGCAACTTGCTTGTGATCGGATGACATTCTTTAGTATATGAAGTTATTTATGCTCGTTTGTTTTACGTCTTGTAACAATACATTATTCTGTCCTTATGTTTGTTGCTTGCAGTTTATTTTCTCTACTTTTGTTGTTTGGAATATCAAACCTTGGTTGTATGATAATATGGGATCTCGGGTCGACTATGATGCTCTTGGGCATTGGTGTACCACTATGCGATGTAGGGGTGGTATCGGTTCGGTTACCGAACCGATAAGGCCAAACCGATACCGAACCGATTATTTCGGTAACTACAAATATGAAACCGCTACCGAACCGTTTGTAATCGATAATCGAAAATTCGGTTACCGTTAACTCGGTTCGGTAACGGTTTCCTACCGAAAAAACTGAAATTTACCAATAATAAATGAGAGGGCCGATTTTTTATTTTTTATTTTTTTTTTTTTTGTTAATGGGTGAGATGAGCATTCATGAAATTAATACTCATCAAATTTTGATTATTGTACTTATACAATGATGAATAGAAATATACAAATCATAAAATTAATCTACAGATGCGCAAAGTGGTCGAACATACTACGACTTTTGTTGAGGGAAATTTGTCTGCGAACAGGGCATCCAGCATCCAATATCCAGAATGAATGTCAGCAACTGTTGAATTTCCTGAATATTGCTTATGACGGTTTTCAAGTCCTCAATATTGCTTAGTAATTATATTCAAAAGCTGCTTGCTTTGTTATGCATTCACAAGCTGTAATATTGTCTTGCTTATTGTCTAAAGGCTCGTCCTATGATCTTTCCCCGGAAAGTTGACTCGATGTATTCGAGCTACCTGGAGCCTAGAAGGAGGTAACTTAAAAGGCCTATGCTTGGTGGTGTTGAATTCTAGATTTATTGAATTAGATTGCACATTTTGTAATTTGCTTTGTTGTTTCGAAGTTATTAATTATGCGAGTATGTTTCTTTGAATGCAGAAGACGAGGATGAATCAATCTGGAGTTTCATTTTCACAAATACGATGATATAATATGATGGGACCAGATTTAGGAAAAAGTCAACCAACAACAGCATGCTAGTTATGGAGATGAATTGTCTATACGATCACTGAGACGGCCTATCACGATAGATTATGTGCTTATGAGAACTAAAAGTGAAGCATTTTTAAAATTTTTGACAGGAAGTTGATTGAAATTACTGCACACTTTTAATTTCCACATTTTGGATGGATAAATGCTTGGTAATTTTAATATCAGGAAGTTGATTGAATTTACTGCACACTTTCAATTTCCACATTTTGGATGCAATAATGCTTAGTAATATTAATGTCGATTATTTTCTTACAAATCTTGTATTTAATGTGATTTACATGAAGATGCTTTTTTTTTTTGTTGGAGACGTTTTTTTCTTTTAATTTCTCCAAGTAAATTTTTTCTTGTACTACAATTAATATTTTTTATTATTTTTTTGTTTGATAGCACCTTAAAGAGAATAAGGTCAAGTATTACATTCATACACATCATCAACCAAACAAGATAGTAGCTTAATGGGCTGGATATATATAACTGCACATTATTAACCAAACAAGACTATGAGAAGGATATAATGGGCAAGCACAATACTAAATTTCAACCAAACGGACTCTAATTCAATTTAGTAAAGAGGCTATGATAGAAAGTTGAGAAAGTTAATTAGGAGTGAATATATGGCATCGAAAGGTATGAAGATGTTCATAATTTTGGCTAATTATCACCTCTGTCTTGACGTTGATTATCATTTACAACTGTATTAAAATAGTGTGTTGAAGAGAGAAACGTCAATTTGAGCCACCCATATTGAGACAGTCGGCATCACGGCGGCACTTCTAACGCCGTCCATCTCTCTGCACTTCTTTTATTAATTTGATAACTATAATAAACTATACATATATTTTTTTCTGTATTTGAAAATAAACTGCATATAAATTATTCTTGTAATGGTTTATAAACATATAATAAAAGAATAAACTATATATAAATTTACAGTAGGAAAACCGGTTTGTAATCCTATGATAAACTAAAATTAAATTAGATATATAATATGTGATACCTTTTCCAGATCTTGAGTGGTTTTCTATTTTGTTGGTATTATGGTTTTAGTTTTTAGAAGAAAAAATAGTCTTAATTAATAAGGATAATTGACACAATTTAGGGAACTATGAGAGAGAGAAAGGATCAGTGTTTTGATTTGATTTCGCTTTCTATATAATTTCTACTTAATTAATTAGATTTCTTAATATGAATTCGTTGAAGGTTGTAATTAATTATTAACTACATCCAATGACGTTAAGTGGAAATAAGTTTCACAGCTCGTGAAATCGGTAAACTATGACAAAGGAATCGTTTACATGTACTTCAGCCTCTTTTTTTTCATGTTTAGGGATTTAATCTCAATTGAGTTTCTCTTTATTTTATAATAATAATTAAATCCAGATATAATAGATACGTGTTCTTTGATAGTTTATTCAATTGTTTTTTTGCCAATTGTTAATACATTTTTATTAATAATATAACAGGTTAAGAATAATAAAGAAAGTGTACGCAATTAAAAAAATAAAAATAAACAAATAACAAGCATTCCAATTTCACGTTGAATAGATGACAGTCAAAATAAAAGCATAAGAAATTAAATTTTTATTAGATCACTCAAATATGACCGGTCACTTCCAGTCGCTGAATAGCATAAGAAATTAAATATCTATGAGATAGCATAAGAAATTAAATACTTATTAGATAAAAGCAAATCTAAAGAGTTACTCCCGACAACATAAACATCGTGCCACCGTCACTTCGTCCGTCAGCCATCTTCATTGCAGCAACGGTAACATAAGTAAATACCAACAACCAACACGACAACGCCCATACCTACAGCGAGGACTGCCCCTGCTATTACGGAGGTTTCCATAGATTAGTCGAAACTAACTAAAAACTTTGTCACATGCTTATATATATATAATCATATAAATATATGAATATATAGAAAAGTTTGATTATATTTTAGATAGTATCTCTAAAAAATAAACTTATTATTATTTTGGGAATCTAAAAGTCAATTTTTTGGAACGAAATCACAAAGATTTTAAACATTGGATTTATTTGGACGGAAAATCAATTCCTTTGGCATGTAAATATACGCGTAGATGTTAATTATTTTGGCATGAAAATTTTAAATTTGATTTTATATGGAAATATTGACTGCGTTACCACAATCTGATCTGATCTCTTTCATTTAGCACGGCCCCATCTGATCTGTTTCATTTACATAACGAATGCCTCCTTTATTTATCTTACAACATTTGCCGTATTTTTTTAGCTTAAAAATTGCAATTAATTATAAATTTAGTGATCACAACATGTCAGCATCACCAAACTAAATTACGTTCATATTTTTTATTTTTTTATTTTTTTTGTACCAAAAAAAAAGTATTCATATTTTTTATTTTATTTTTGTTCATTCTTGTTAGCTTCCCTTTGAATCGTGGACTAGCTGGTTCGGTTCGGCCCGAGCACACCGGTACCTGCAAAACCGATGGGCCATCGAGCGGTTCAAGGACATCGTTTCGGAAGGCCCGCGTGGCAGCTCGTGCCACATGGCGTGGAGGTTGAGGCCCAAGGAAAGTAAAGAGGCCGCGGATTACACGCTTGAGATGTCCGAGAACTGTACACTTAGTGTGGTCAGTATCGGAGGCTATCATGACAAGTTGAGCTTGCTGCATCTTGTGGAGGACTTAATTTAAGGTTACTCCCATGAAGCTTGCGGATACCCTGATCATGAGGTTTGTGAGGGCGAGACCAAGAGCGTGATCCAACGGCCATGGAGTATGATCTTGAAATCGAGACGGTTGCTAGATGTTGTCTCGGCTATTGCTGCCCGAATGAATTGGACGTCGAGCGAGGTGAAAAGGCAAGCAACAGGGAATTATGGCCTAATGTCGATAGGGACACTTCACCCGATGCACTTTTGTCGACCAAAATCGAGGACGGGAGGAACTTATACATAGCGACCAACGAGCCTGACACGTCGTTGTTCGACCCCTTGAAGGATAAGTACACGACCCATTTTCTCCATGACTATAAAGAGCTTTGGGATTCAAACAACGACTGCTATTCCGAGATGACCAAGCTCAATAACGAGACCCCGGTTGAGTTCGATGGGTACATGAGGATTCAAGTTGATAGGGAGGTATTCTTGAAGGGCAAGAAGCAAATCGAGACTTTTAATGACCTTACCATAGACCCCAAGGATGCGCCTCCTCTAGTTAGAGTTGAGTGGAAAAGAGGTTTAAGTGCTTGTTTCTGATATTGCAGTGTGTTGTCATCGGTGTGTTTGTTTTTGACAAGTTTTCGTTTTCGTATATGGTAGGTTACAAGTTAAGAACCCTATTTTCCTTATACAACTAGTACATTTAAGAAACTAGTAAAGTGCACGTGCATCGCACGTGATGATGATGAATGTTTTTTACCAATTAAATTTAGTAAAATTAATTAATTAATTTATTAAATAACATATTACAACCCAAGAAGGGTAAGAAATAAATAAATATTAAGTATTTCAAAATTAAAAATTTTAATGACAGACAATAATTAAATTTGTAACTAAAAAAACTAACACTTTTAATGCCAAAAATATATATTTTTATGTGTTTAAAAGTTCTAGTTAAAATAAATGTTCATCTTGAATATGTTTGTATTTTCCCTTAGTCATTTTTATTACATAGAACTTCATTCTTACCTGTTTTTTAGTTACTACTCCCTCCGTTTTATTTTAATTGTCGTTTGAGTGTACACTTTTTTTTGCTTATTAATTTTCATTTTGGATAACTATGAACTAATTAGTTTTATAACTATCTAATATCCTAAAAATCTGTATTGATAACAGACGTGGAAAACTAAGGTGAGAGAAATTTGTTAAAAAGTATACATTAAATAAGATTTAAGAGATTTGAAAATCTAATGTACAGGATAAGACAACTAATTCCTATCAATACGTAATTTCGTTCTTTTCACCTAGAACAACAATCATTTTAAAACAGAGGGAGTATAATACTACTAAAATAATTAAAGACTTTTCAACCTAGATGTATCTTGTTTGTTTTGAAAATATTACTTATTATCATAAATTAAATAAAAATTACATTAAATGTGTTATATATTCTATCATTATCAATAATTTTCATAATAATTAGTTGCACGCAATAATATATATAACGTAATTTTTTTTTATTGATTTACAACCCTACTTTGTTGTAATCATGGACAGATCCATGTTTATAGGACCGACACAAGCCCTCATCCCAAAACATCTAGGATAAGGTATCTAACAACAATTGTGAGAATTTTTTTCATAATTTTAATCATGTCCTCAATTTTGAAAATAAAATTACAAGAAAGAAAATACATAATGAATTACTTTACAATTCAACCAATTATAATTTAATTCAGCTCATAACTTTATTAAAGTTATAACATAAACGTGGTACCCCAACTAAAAAAAAATATAATAAAATCTCAAAATTACAATTTTACTCTAAAAATTCTATTTTTTAATCTTGATGATAATTCTATTCTCTTTTTTGCAATATAATGTTTTCTCTAACGTCAAAATATATTTTTTTATATCTTGTTTAACTAATGTATGTGAAATTCTAGCTATATGTTCATATTTATAAATTCGTCAATTATATAGTCGAGTTGAGTCAACTATACTATAATATAATTTTTTTTCGCATGTTTTATGTTATTACTGATAGTTAGTTCACTGATATAGCCACATAAGGATAACCCGGTCCAGAGGCTTCCTACTCGACCGTTAAGCCACTTGAACGACTCACATGTCGACATGCTCAAATCGACTTCCCTAAAGTCGATTCTACCGAGAGCAATCAAGAAGAGGCAGAAATTGGTCTAGTCGACTCTCGCAAGTCGACCTTTACTAGTCGACATCTAGGGGAGAAGAACATCAAGAATGTAATTCCCAAGCATCCAGATACTCTAGGTCGACTTTCACTAGTCGACTTCACCATGACGACTCTCTGAAGACGACTTCACCGCAGAGAGTTAAACTAGGCGTAGCCTCCAAAACAGCACATATTCATAAGTCGACCTCCTAGTTCTCGAGGTCGACTCTGTACATCTCGAGGATCAAAGTGGTGAAGACGATTCACCACACTTGCAACATACCCGAAGCCCTACATACTACAAAGGATAAGAAGGAGTCTTGTGATGACTCAGCAACAAGGGGAGACGAATCGGCCAGGGCATTTTGGACCTTCTAGGTCCACCGACCTGGGCATGTTGGGCACTTCAAGTAAGTATTCACTCCTATATAAAGGAGGCGAGGTAACCCCAAGCCCTAACTCTCATTCACTCCCACTCTCCCCCATAGCTGCTGCGCAGCCTCCCTTCATCACTCTCATACTGACTTGAGCGTCGGAGGCTCTACGCCGGAAACACCTCCGGCGTTGAGTTTTTGCAGGAATCTCGCGGTCTAGCAACGATTGGGAAGCGGTTCAAGCAGATCTGAGCTCACAACAACCGGTTTACTCCAGATCTGGAAGTAGACCCATCAAGTACAATAAATGTGCTAGATGAAAACAAAGTGTTCCATCATGTGTAACTGGAAAAACGAAGTAAAATCAAAGCACTTAGGGTGCCTTTAGGTTGCAACCTGATGATGGAAGCTAATTTATCAACCAAAAGTACAACGAAGACGGTAATTGGTATTTAAAGACATTAGTATTGGCCGTGCTGTCGTAGGCGCCCAAATTAACCTTGCTTCTAAATATGTAGTAGCATGAGCAAGAATCGTATCCATGTGGAATAATTTAATTAGATAACTCTAACTATGTGATTCAAATGGGGAAGAGTTGATTTATAATCCTAATTATCTAATTAACAAGAAAATAAAGAAGGTATTGACAAAAGACTATTAAATAAGAGATTCAAAAGTAACAGCAAGATGAAGATGAAAATAAAGTGCTCCGGTTGAATTGATTTCTACCTTGAATTATTTTACTGATCCTTTATGCAAATATTATCAATTCATAAATACGTAGTTGCCGTTGAATGATGAATTCTATCTCTTAAATTGGATATGCAAAATAAATCCTTCTATACAACCCTTATTACTAGGCAAATCCCAACATCGTGTAAAATTATTCTAGCAATAGCATTAAGAATTAGAGACCGGCAACACAAGCAACAAATAACTAATCCGTTAAATATTAAAGTTTTTTTGCAGCTTAAAGGCTTGGTCCAGCACCCACCTTATTGCTAAGAGAACCGAGACCCGAGTTTCAAGGCTACCAACCGAGGCCCGAATTCCAAGGATTCCAACAACCCCGAGGAGGATTTGTTCCAAGGCAACCAATGCCACCTCAACCGGAGCCCGAAAATGAGACTAAGGCGAATCCCTCGGACGCTCGAATCGAAAATATGGAGAAGTACCTTCAAAGCCTTGCATCGACCGTGTCCACTCTTCATGATGCGGTCAAGGGCGTACCTTTAATCCAAGCTTCCCTCAAATGTCTCGAGACTCAAGTGGGACAACCCGGGACTTCTCTTGGTGAGATACAAAGGAGTAAGATGAAAGACAAGCTCCCGAGCCAACCCGAGCACGTCAATGCTATATCGGTGTTGAGGAGTGGTAGGCAAGTTGATAATCATGTGGAGATGCCTAAGGAGAATGAGGTGGAGGAGACTTTTGTCGAGGAGGATGATGACCCGATTGAGGAGGTTGAGGTCTCGAAGGGCAAAGCCATTGTTGATGAGGGGATCGAGAAGGAAAAGTCGAAGTTGGAGGCACGTGAGGGCTTACACAAGTCAGCTACACCTTATAAGCCGCCGGTTCCTTACCCGAGTCGTTTAGAAAACACCAAGAAGGAGCGTCAATTCAAGGACCTCTTCAACATGCTCTCGAAGGTAAAAGTCAATCTCCCACTCTTAGATGTTATCAAGAATGTCCCGGCATATGTGCAATTCTTCAAGGACTTAGCTTCAAAAAAGCGGAGGTTTGAGGACAATGAGAAAGTCATGATTTCCGAGGTAGCCTCTACCACTATACCTCGGAAAGAGTGCGATCCAGGAGCTTTTGTGATGAGGATCACTTTTAGGAATGGTAAGGCGACGACCGGGATGTTAGATTTTGGGGGCCGGCATCAATCTCATGCCCTACTCGATTTACAAGCAATTGGGGTTGCAAGGACTTAAGCCAACTCGAATGAGTCTCCTACTAGCGGATCGAACATTGTGGGAACCAAAGGGTATAATTGAGGATGTGTTGGTCAAAGTTGGGTCTATCGTTGTGCCGGTGGATTTCGTGGTCCTTGACGTGGGAGATGTCCCAAATACCGGGAAGCAACACACAATTTTGCTTGGGCGACCCTTCATGGCGACGACCAACACCCTTATCGATGTCAAGGATGGACGAGTCACCCTTTCGGCTCATGGAGAGATGGTTACATTCACAATAAACAATGCTTGGGAAGCTCCACCCAAAGTTGGCCAATGCTCATTCATAGACGACACCGATAAGGAGGTACATCCCGAATCCCTCTCTAATTTTGTCGATGGTAATGGTGTTGGTGAGAAAAAGAAGGTAGTTGGGTCGGGATTGAATATTGATGATGATGTTGAGGTTAAAGTTGAGGATTTGAGTAAGAAAAATGAGGGTGGAAATGGGAATGGTTCGAAACCGGGCAAGAAAGGGGCGAAAAAGAAGTTAAATGGTGAAAGTGCAAAACCGGGAGGGGTGAATTTTGATGAAAAGTCGAGGAGAAATGCCCCGGTGCCCCCGAAGAGTAAGTGGGCGAATGTTTTCTTTGACGAGCATGATGAGGTTTGTTTGTTATGTTTTTGTGTGATTTTATTGTGTTTTATTTGCTTGAGTCGAGTCGTTTTAGGGTTTTATTTGTGTGTCCCGGTCCATTTTTGTTCTTTTTAGTAGTTTTTAGTTTTTAGTCGTGCTCGTATATTTTTCCTATCTCTTTTGTGCGTTTTTGGTGTTTTTGTAGGTTCGAAAGGAAGATGTAGTCATTTCGAGATGTGCCGTCTCGAGTGCTAATTCATTTGGTGTGTCTTCCATGTCGAGGAGGAAAAGGATTGAGGAGTGTGAGTCGAAGTTTCGAGTCGATCGGAGGCCCGTGGAATTAATTAGAGCTTTTCAAGTCGAGCCATAGCCACTTTCAATTTGAAGATTCGAGCCCTCGAAGTTCCTATGCCCGCGAATCCCCATATATGCGCTGCTCGCGAGTTTTGACGTTCGAGCCCTCGAAATCCTTTTCAGTCACGAGTCCCAGTTAC